CATGAAAGAGGATCAGGTAGTTTCTTTGATGAAAAGTGAAAATCACCCCAAATCAAACAAGCCTCTGCACATCATCAGCCTGAGCTCTTACATTCTTGGCTGCAGGCACATTTCAAATGTAACCTGGTTTGACAAGTTGCACTGGAAGAAAGCCAGCACTAGAAAATCTACCTCTTTCAAACTACACAGCTAAAATCAATATTATCTTTTAGTATTGATTTATTAATATTTTTTCTTTTGGTATGTAGAATGTGGAGGACCTTTCAACTGTGTTTGAACATCCCTCCCCAAAACTGTTTGTCCCAGAAATGAACAGAGAAGGATGAATGCTAAAGTGTAAGAAAAAACCTGAGCTGGGCATCAGACTGAAACTTACTTTGAAAACTGTGTTGGAGTAGAGGGCTGTCAAAATAAACTCTGACTTTAGTGTGCTTTGTGCAGCCAGGTGAATTCAACAAAATTGCACACGAGGTACATAACACAGTTTCATCCATTAACTTCTACGATAATATAATTTCCTTTAGTTCTAGGTGTAATCAGATTAGGGTGGATTAAATCCTATACCAGTGGAATCACAGAATAGTGGAATTCCTCAGGACAACTTTGTATTCCAGGCTACAGTCATACTTAAAATATTCTTAATTTACTTTAATTGCTACATCTGATTAAGTGGAAGGACCGTTTTGCTAAGGGCTGGACTACAGATAGTGCTTTCCCTTTATTTTACTCACAACATGGTAACATTTCTTTTCTTCTGATTACTCTTGAAATTACTGGGAAATTTCCTGGCAAGAGCCTCACAAGGTGCATCAAGTCAGTAAATTCTCTTCAAGGTTATCTAGGCAGTATGTGCACACCAAAAAAATGAATGCATTGCACCAATTTGACTTCAGGCTATTGTTTTGCCAAAATAGGAGGAATGCTCCAGGGTTTCATCTGTCTCCTAGTGTCAGGGTGAGGGGGATAGTGATGATAAATGAACAGAAGGTTTTAGCACTGCTTCCCCTCATGGAAAAGGATATATATTTAGTGCAGCAATGCTTATTGCCCAAACAGGGGCAGTAAATCAGATCTATGTTAACATTTTTCTGGGCAAGTATATAAACAAAGTATATTATCCCATGCATTCCTGTTTAGCAATTTATTTTCAGCATATTCACCCGTTCAGGACACTCTTCCTCTTGCTGAAGATGGCTCTAACCACTAGTCTACAAAATTATAACTCCTCTTGCACTTCATCTTTCTCAGTTTCCTCCCTGCACAGCTCCCCACCCCTGGAAAATCTTTGGTTTTTTGGTGGACAGAGGTATTATTCCAGTCAGGAAGATGCAGAAGAAGTGGTATGGCATATCAGGCCAAGAGTCAGGTCCTGCCGTTGGGTCAAAACAATCCCAGGTGACATTACAGGCTTGAGGAAGAAGGGCTGGAAAGCTGCCCAGGGGAAGCAGACCATGGGGTACTAGTTGACAGACAATTGGGTAGGAACCAGTAGTGTGCTCAGCTGGCCAAGAAGGCCAGCAGCATCCTGGCTTGTATCAGGAATAGTGTGGCCAGCAGGACTAGTGAAGTGGGTTTCCCTCTGTACTGGGCACTGGTGAGGCCACACCTCAAGTACTGTGCTCAGCTCTGGGCCTCTCACTACAAGAAGGACACTGAGTTTCTGGATCAAGTCCAGAGAAGAGCAGCGAAGTTGATGAAGGGCCTAGAGAATAAATCCTATGACGAGCATCTGAGGCAACTTGGATTGTTTAATTTGAAGAAGAGGAGGCTGAGGCGAGACCTCATTGCTCTCTACAACTACCTGAAAGGAGGTTGTGGTGAGGTGGGGCATTGGCCTCTTCTCCCAAGTGAACAGCATTAGAACTAGAGGAAATGGCCTGAAGTTGCACCAGAAGAAGTTCAGACTAGATATCAGGAAGAATTTATTTACTGGAAGAATAGTCAGGCACTGGAACAGGCTTCCCACGGACATGGTAGAGACACTGGCCCTGGAGGTATTAAAAAAAAGTGTAGACGTAGTAATTCAGGACTTGTTCTAGTGGATATGGTGGGCTGTTGTTGTTGTTTTGTTGTTTGGTTTGGTTTTTGTGGTTTGGTTTTGTTTGGGATTGTTTTTTTCCTCCTGGGTGGACAGTTGGACTCAGTGATCTTAAAAGTCTGCAACCATAACAATTCTGTGATTCTCTGAATATTCTGGTCCTGTCCTTGCTCCTTCATGACTTCAGACTGAGTCAGATAGAGGACTAATGCAATAAAGAAGTAAATATCTTATCTGAGCTTCTCATCAGGCTTCTGCCAAGGGAAAAAATGTCTTGACTAGATAAAAAGATGCAGTTCAAACCCGTTATAGTAATTATGCCACCAGTAAAGGTAAAAATACACAGCGAACTGCTTTGAGGTCTCTTGCACAGGCAGTACACTGGGAGATTAAAGTCATGCCCACACAGTAGAAAGAGGTGGGACATATCAGAATACCAGAAACCCATGAGAAAAATCTGTAGACATTGGTCAGAAACTGAAATACTCAAGTGTTGTGGAAATATGCATGTATAGCAAAATTGTATGTGTACTGTTCTATGATACTCCTCTTGAGTAAGTATGTGTTTCTTGCTACCTTGATTCATCCTTTCTCATAAAAAGAGGCTCTTCATGGATTTCTTGGTGATGAATAAGCCTTCCTACAAACACATCTGTTTCTGCAAACTGCCTCATAGTCCCTATATTGGTTTCTCATGGCAAGTTCCATTAATACCACACCAGTTTGCTGATTTTCTTTTTACTCTGTGTTCCATGAGCTTTTGCAGAAGAGAAAGTGAGGATGAGCCCAATGAAAACAATTTGAACTCTGCCTATAAATAAAAGATTACAGATCAAGGTTGACAAATTCATCCCTTGAACAATTTCAGAGGAGTTACCACAGGTCAAACCAGTGGCATGCTCTGTATCATGTCTCATCTTACGTGGAATTAACATGCTTTCAGAGAAAGGTTCACAAAATCCTTCTTTCATCCTGAGATTTCCTTCCTAACCACCTTTAATGAGACGAGCTTTCATAACAAATGCCCTTGATAGTTATATCTTTTTCCAAACAATGTTGAGTCATTTGGCCTAATGCAGTGTTTCCCTTGGCACATGAAAAAAAGGAAACTTGTCACAGCAAAACCAGAATTTTACTTATTAATTTAGAGAGTGGTCTTCTCTGTGAAAATAAGAAGGTGGTCTAGGTAGCACCAGAAAGACTGCTCCATACTTAAGATTAAAAGCATCTATTTTATGCTTTCACCATCAAGTGGATTTTGAAAATTATTTATGACCTAGCTAGGCTGGTTACTCCTAGATCTTCAGAAATTAGTATGTATATGACAAATGAGAAACACAAAGAGGAATTTTTTCTTCAGCGTTTAGCCCAAGGAACCACAAATGGACATGATTAAAAGAAACAAACACATACATACTTTAGTGTAACTTGTTAATGTCTGCTTAAAGCAGACTTGTGTGCATGCATGAGCAGATCACAGAGCTACTTTGGACTATCAGAATCTCTTTCAGGGTCTCTTTATGTGACAAGATATGGCTACAAGTGTATTGTTCATGAAATGCTGGGTGTTAATGGAAATGGGCAAGGAAGGGGAATAGGAGAGACAGCAGATACTTTCTTTATGTGAATCCAGTGAAGATAATACTTTGTAAATGTTGTTTGAGGAAGTAAGATGTTTTTTTGCTGGTGGATGGACTGTTTGCTCTGGAGAATGTGTAATATCTACAGAAAGGCCTTAATAAGAGACACATTAACATCACTTTCAGGTTAAACTCTTTTCTGCTGCCTAACAGACATGGCACAAAGGAGAGAAGCAGGGAAATTCATGGCCCAAGGACAGTAATTTCATTTTATTCTGTCTCCAATGCTGTCCTCAGTGTTGCTTACATCTTATTTTGCAGGAAATTGTTCAAGAGAAGGTGTGTAATTGCAGATGTATATGCACATGTACTAACTGAATCTGGTGACCTTGATTGGCATCTTTAGAAATACTCCTAATAAATAAATCTATATGTTTTATAAGAATGCAGTTTTTAGTACCTAAGCAAATAAAATATTTTTGGAGAAGCACAAGCTTTTTGGTATTGAGTCATTTTATTAACTATCCAGCCTATTGTATAGACAGCTGCCAGAGAATGGAAAATATGCACTAGATTCTCACCAAATAATAAAAACTTACCCATGTTTTGAAGTCTTTTGTAAACTGTTCCAACTCAAGGTGAACTACAGCAACTGTAGCATCTGACTGACTCAAGTCTTCCATCACAACCCTTGTCTCTTTCCTCTTGACTCCTCTGAATTCATTGCAGTTTAGATTGCTAGCACAAACAGAAGTGTAGACAGTGAGTCAAACAGCTCACTGCTGCTTCCAAAGAGCCTTCATCCTTATAGAGGGAGGTTTTGCTTCTGGAACAGGCTGACCCCAATACCCTAGAACAAAGTGATCTACAAACTCATCTTCCCAGAGCACTTAAACAAAAATAAATACTAGTAGTTACCATGTAAGAGTGAGAGCATATATGTTACACTGATGGGTCCTAAACCACTCTAAATGCCATCATAATCAGGACAGTGAAGTTAAGCTGTTAACCTTTGACATTTATGACAGGATCCCTCACCATAAATTCACAGTTTTCTATTAAATAGCTAATTAGACTTTTGTGGAAGAGAAGAGAAATTAATTATTTCTTATTTATTTATTTATCATATTTACATTTGTATTTTATATATTAGCAACATGTCTTTTTTTCCCATTTTTTTCCTTGTACGCTACCTATTTGAAGCCACATATGTCACTTGTGTAGCAGACTTCCTTACCAGAGTTGTCACTGATCATTCTTCTTTCTTTCCTAGTGACCTTGAGCCTGAATGGTTGAATGGTGTGCAGAAAAATGGGGAATTATTTTATTTAGAATTGAGTGAAAGTGAAGAAGAAGTTCTGCTTCAGAACAGCTGCCCGGAAATGCCAACTGTGAATCATGTCAGGTTTCGTGAAAATGAAGCTGAAGTTATTCAAGAGGGATCAAGAAAAGAAAGAAAGTACGAACTGAAGAAACTGACCAAAATCTTAAAAAAGAAGAATCTTCTACCAAAGCATTCTGTTAAGAAAGGCAGTGGAAGCTGTGGTCCTACTTCCATATTGAAACAGCAGTCTTCTCAGAAAATGGGTGTCACTGTTCAGCAGAAATACAAAGATGTATATGTTTATGTAAATCCCAGAAAACTGTACAGAGCTGGAGAAGACGAGCAGCAGAGGCTGCTGGAGGCCTTATTAGGGATTGTCCATCAGTCTTCATGGAGCACCAGAAGAGCAGAAAAACAAGGCAGAAAGGATAAAGTCATCAGTGAAGAGAAGCTTGTAGTACATGGCTTGGTGCTAGGTAGTTCAGCAATGAAAACAGGTCACGTCTTGATTGGTAAGTCATCAAATGAATCAAACTTCTGGACTCTTCCTTTAAAAAGATGATCTAAAAATTATTTTTTGAGGCAGCTGACTTAATGTTCCTGAGATAAAAACAATTACTTTAAACTATTTTGTCAGTTCTTGAGGGATTATTTTTTTTAAAATGTCATTGTATCTAATGTTTTGTTACCTAATCAATTTTACATTCATGTTTTTAAAACCATGCCACATAAGCTAGAAGGGGTTAAATACAGTAAGGAGATGCCTGCCTGCCTGCCTGCCTTCCTCCCTCCCTCCTTCCCTCCCTCCCCCCCCTTTACTATAGTTCAGTACTTTGGGTCAATGATAAACAGTTCTCAAACGTATTTTAGAGACTGCTGTCATGATCCAGATTTTTAAACAGCCCCCAAATGCTAACTGAAATGTAAATTCCTTACAATCCCTTCAAAAATATATATATAATGAGAATGTATTCAACAGATGAAGAAACACTTCTAAGCACTTAAATAGAAATAAAAAGTATTATTTCCATGTAGGACTAATAGGAAAAGGACAACCAGCATGTTTTTTTGCCTTCCGGTCATTTGGAACCAGTGCAATCTTTTATTTATTTATTTTTTAATACATTTTTTTTACAATTTGGAGTTTTAACCCCAGCTTTTGAAGACTAACGTAATTATATTTAAGGAAAAGATAAAAATATTCACCCCACAAAAGCCAGGAAATTCACAGTACAGGAAAACTTGACAGCCATGGTCAGTGTGTTTGGGAAAATGTTATGGGTTGCTCCACTTTTTCTTTAAAATTTATTCAAGGTCTATTGGTGACAGCAGCTATTTAACCAGACAATTAGAAATGAGATTAAATAGTCATTAAAGCTAGTAGAATAGGAATATTTTTACATTCCTATATACTGAGGCCCTAAAGAGTTAACCAGGAGAGGCCACACTTATTTGAATATCCTGCAACGCAGACGTTTAAACTGTTCTGTCAACAGATAACAGCTTGTTTGCAAGTTTGACTGAACATCTTAAAATTCCAAATAAAAATTAATTTTTAATTTTAAATGAAGAGGAAATTTTATGTCATATGACTGGAATCCCAAAGATTTAGAAAAACTAAAAACAACCATCTGATCCTTTTTTTTTTTCCATTTCTAATAGTGTTATTGTCACTTATAGTTGACAGGTTCTATTTTGAAAACCGGGTCAAATAATCCAACTATGTCTTGTTTTTTTCTACAAAATCAGTAAAGTTTGTATTTTAAAACATTACTTGCTGGGAAATGCAAGTCTTCTGTAGTTCTTTGTGGTGTAACATCTGAAAAAAAAAACTGGTGAGCAGTAAATCTTTTCTCACCTCTGTTGTATGTTGGAAAAGATGACAACTCAGTCTGCCTTTGATGAGCAGGACAAAAGTGAATTGACACACAGCAAAGGCTGGTTTCTTTGCTTGGGTGAAACTTGTTGCATTATGTGAAGAGTTACACACAGATTTTACAACTGGCTGCCATGAGCAAAACTACTGTTAACAGGCCCTTACTTCACTTGACAAGCCAAGGTTAGTTAGCTACCTAACTGGAATCTATTGCTTGCGCCAATGAGACGTGTCCTCAGCATCTGGTTATTCATGCAGCTTGTTTGTTAATCAGTCAGTGAAATCTGTGTCAACCCAGTGTCATCACCTGCTGAGGAAGCAATGTTCTAGCCTCATCAGCATGTGCAAACATGGATGTGACAACTGAAAAGCTCCTCAGATCTCACCTCACGAGTGTTTCTGGTGATACTAGACAGATCTTTTTTTCACAGAAAAGCCTGATGTTCTGGAAAGGCTTCATGGCAAGCATCTTTTTCCTTGAAAAGGAGTGATTTTTGACATGTTTTATGCAGAGGGTTACTTATTGTCATGCTGTGAATCCAGGTTTTGTATTTCTTCCTCCAGTAAGGACACAAAATATATCTTCATGATACCTAGTTTATAAACGCCTGCTGTTCACAAGCACAGAAGGCAAAGGAGATAGCATCTAATTTTAATCCAGAGCATTTTTTTTTTCTCTCTCTCTCTTTTTTTTTTTTTTTTTTTTTTTTTTTCTCTCTCTCTTTTTTTTTTTTTTTTTTTTTTTTTTTTTTTTTTTTTATGTTGTAGGAAAGCATTGTGGTTTTGGCAACTGTAAACCATTGTTCCAGAAATCCACAAAACAGACCTTGGTTTCTAAGGCCTTATTCTCTTCAAAGTGTAGTGTTATAAACCTGGAATAGATTCACTCAAATGGAGCATTGTTGAGACAAGAGCATAGCCATCTCAGCAAAAGTTTGCTCCTGGTTAGACCCTAAAATATAGCCAGAAAAATATTCTCATTGCATCTTGAGCTAATTTTTTTTTAAGTAATCCAAAGAACTTAGAAGTACCAAAGAATTACATTTCTATGTAGGCTGAGAAAAACTGAGAGGACCAAATGTGGATTTAAGTTGGATTTTTTTTATTTTTTTATTTTTTTTTTAGTTTAAAAAAAGTTGAATCTATGTTTTGACACACTTACCTGCAGAAAAGTTTCTTTCTCTAAAAAGTGTGAGTTTTTTCATATTCTAAATTTTAAAGAAGAGTAAGTTAATCAAAATTTTACAAAACCAAACCTAAAATTAATTATTTTGTTTCAGGTCAAGCAATTTATCTGTGTTGATCTGGGGTGTTTTGGTCCTTCCTTAATTGAGAAAGCCAAAAACATTTCAAGTTGTCCTGTTGCCACAGTCATTTCCAATTCATCAGAAGGAGAATGCTGCTCTCATTAACTTGCTAGGCCGATTCATAAAATTCAGAAAGGCATCCAGATTTTGCTGATTCTTTCTCCCAAAAATAATCAAGGCTCATCTGGATTGAGAGGAACAGCACAGAAGAAGAGAGAGGCAGTTAGAGGATCTTCAGAGGTAGAACAGAGTCTGCATCTTCATAGATTTGTGATGATCAGATACTGCTGAAAGCGGTCACTTCAAAACAAGAAAAATCAATAATGTAGACCTCTGTGGTGGACACTGCCATGGAATTTGCTTTTTGTGTTTGTAGTAATATTGTTTGTTCACTTTGGAAGGAATTTCTTTGCAGCCTAGGACAGGATGACTTTCAGCATCAGATTTTTCCTTAAAACTCGGAACAAACAAAATTCAAGGTTTGTTAGCCAGCTGCCTCTTTATCTGGGGTTGTTTTCAACACATACATATAAACAGCATTGCTCCAAGAAAACTTAATTTTCAGAGACCTGATGTCCATGTGGTGTTTCTGAGTAAAGTGGGATGTCATGGCTTTCTCAGAAGCACTTGCAGGAGATATAATGAAAGTGTCATTTGTTATTTGTGTAGAAAGATTTCCACTCTGAAGAGGAACAGTGCTGTTATTATCTGTCTGGCAGAGGGTGCATGTTCAAGCAACAGCAGAGTGTAACCTAATCTAAGTCAACAGAAATGCCACCGTTAGGGCTGTATTTGGGAACTGACACTGTAGGATGTTGCTCCCATGTAGCCAAACACACACCTGTGTTCATTCAAACTTCCTCACAGTCAGGGCAGGGGGTGGGAAGAAAAAGCTTGCGTGCAAGCTGGGAATGAACAGCCAGCTGCTGGCAGGGTCTCTCAGGACGGCTTTTCTCACTTGCCTGTCAGGCACCATAGCTACTGCCAGTCAAAACCTGCAACAGCCAGCCAAAACACTGCTGGCCAGGTTCTCACCAAGGAGCTGTTTTTATGCCCCGTTGCCATGGGACCTCTCACTTGTGTGATCAGAGGAGAATGTGCAACTACATATGTCCTCATGGGCATGCAAGTACTCATGACCTTTGTGTTGGTGGAAAACCACCAATGTCACACACAGCTGGGGGCCCACTTCAACCAGGGGATAGTCTGTGCCAGAAAAGCCCCCAACCCCAAGTTAACTTAATAATGTTAAGTCCATTTACTATGCCAAAAAGTGAACAGCATATTTTTTGTTGAAACAAGTCACATAAAATGTGGGGGTGCTGAGACGCTGGAATAGGTTGCCTAGAAAAATTGTAGAAGCCCCATCCCTGGAAGCATCCAAACTGGTCAGGGCTTTGAGCAACCTGATCTAGTAAGAGGTGTTCCTGCCCATGCAGGGGGGTTGTAGCTAGATGATCTTTAGGGTCCCTTCCAATTCAGTTCTATGATTCTATGAAAATCTATGGGTAAGAGAAACACATTTATGACTGGTCTTAACCTTCAGGAGCCAGTGGCTGAGAGCAGACCTGAAGGTGGGTTTGGCAGAGAGATGCTTGTGCATCTTGGGATTTCCACCCTCTTATCTGCTTGGGCAAAGCCTCTGAGTGCCCACTGACTTCATGTCTCATGAAGTCAATCACCTGCTGACAAAACCTGAGTACACTGCTGCCTTTCTCACAAGCTAGGGTTTCTTATTCTTTTTATAAGTGTATGTTACACACAAAGAGGTGGTAATTGTAGTCAAGTCAAGCATATCCACATGGTCAGACTGAAGAACAAAAATATATATTTTTAAATCCTCCATAAAAACACCAGTTAAGTATTTTTAAAACAGTTTAATGAGGGCCTGATAGGACTTCTGTGCTAACTGTGGCTGGTTTCCATACAGCTTGTATGAGATGCATTTTATTTTGTGAATGTAGAAAACATCTCTTATTCATTTCTAATTTTGAACTTGAGCCTGTGATTTTCAGTGAGTGTTGGAGAGAAGAAATATTCTTTTTATGCCATTTCCCCCGCTCTATCACCAAAGCTACTCTTATCTCTTTAATTGTGACTAAATTATAAAGTATTTTCATATTATGGAGTACATACTGATCATAAGCTTGAGTTTCTTACTTTCATGTTTTTCCTGTTAGGAAAACAGTAACAGAAAAGTCAGCATAAAAGGGGAAAAATCATATCCTATATAGATGCACACACACTAATTTGTCCTTTGGGTCTACTTAGGTATACATATAAAAGAGTATTTAAGTAACATTAAGCACCAAGCTTTTATATTACAAGC